ACCATTCTATGATTCTATGAAAACCACCTGTACTGCACTGACAGTTTCTCAATATAACTGTAGGGATAGTTTGAGAGGCAGCAAAACCTGTTAAGGACAGACTAAGCTGGTTGTAAGACTTTCACTTTATTTGTCATACTTCATTTGGTGATAGGTTCTAGTTTTGTTAGTGACCATCTAGTCCAGTAGTACTTGCTGATAAGTAACTTCAGAAAATATTTGATACATTTTTTACTTTGGCTAGAACTACACAAGTAAACTCTACTATTTCTGGACTGTTAACCACCAGTGGAAAGGTCCAGCATTATCCTGTAATTCTTAAACTTTAATTTTTAAAGAAGTTTTCCACACATTGTTCTAAAGCTTTTGTCCCCTTCACCTTCTTGAAGAGCTGATGTTGGCTTATACAGGCTGACTGCTCTGGCTAACAGTTTAGATAAAAATTACTGCACTAGAAAGTCTGAGACATAAGTACAAGTATAAATAGTGTCTACCTGTGTCACAAGCACCTCCTTTCAGTTAGGGGAACTGAAATAATGGCTAATAAATTGTTCCAAGTACTGTAAGGAAGCTGCAGTCATATTTCATGTGTGTATTTTTAGGTCTAGCTTTGAAGAAAACTGCACTTATGCTTTGAAATAGTTTATGATTATACAAGATATCTGGTTCTACTCAGACTCTGGAGAGAACATGGAAGGTGTTTCAGCATAGCGTATTTCTAGTGCTTGGAGTAGAATTCTAGGGATGTGTAGTCAGCACCCTTTTTTTAAAAATGAGGAATGTCCCTCAAAGTACTGTCTGGCCGTAACACACTCTTGTACCACACAGATAATTTAAATTTGCCTTCAGCTGACTTCCAAGTATTTCTAATACAAGATGTTTTGTCCTTTAAAGTGTGACTGACTCTTTTTTTTTTTCTTTTAGGTTTATTAACTTTTTGAAGAACTATAATAATCCAAACTTAACTATATCATTTTCTGCGGAACGGAGTATTGAAGATGAAATCAATCGTGAAAGCAATAGTGATATTGGCACTGTGTTGATAAGCTATATTGTCATGTTTGTGTATATCTCCATAGCTTTGGGACATATCCAGAGCTGTAGAAGACTGCTGGTATGTATATAGTTTCTCATTGCTATAAACATTGAAACTATAACTTGCTGACTATCTTTTCTTAACTTTAAGTGACTGAAATATTTTTGCGAACTGCTTGTATTCAGTCTTGTCTTAAAGCACTGGGTGCTTTTTGGGCAGGAGCTTGAGGCAGCATGGTCCTTGTCATACTTGACAACTTGTGTGCTTCATAGCCTCAACTATGTCTATTTTCACTTGAGATGTGCAGTTAACTTAAGCTTTAAGGCTTGCGGCTTCTCTTTTTTAATATCTGAATTTTCAAAAGAACTGGAAAAGTAAGCTTTCTACTAACTATGCTAAATGTAAGAATATGGTTTTTACCTTTGCTATAATCTGTCCTGTGTGATGATGGTGCTTTGGCTGACAGTCATTACAACTTTTCTAGGTGGATTCAAAGATCTCCCTGGGCATTGCAGGCATCTTGATTGTACTAAGCTCAGTGGCATGTTCTATAGGCATTTTCAGCTACTTTGGAATCCCACTGACACTAATTGTAATAGAAGTAATTCCCTTCTTGGTGCTGGCTATTGGAGTGGACAACATCTTCATTATGGTCCAGACGCTTCAGGTATGTATTTTTTTCATCCAGACTGTTTGAAATGTGCCTGTTTTCTTTGAAAGCCATTAGCTTGGAACAGAAATTCTTCTGCATTCCAGTGTGCAGCCCAGTCTGAGCAGCTCTGGACTCTCCCAGGATACCTAGTGGTCTTGAAGAAAGACAAGATTATATGTACATTCCATCCCACAAAAAAAAAAAACAAACAAACAAAACATCTGCTTTTTCTTACTGCTGGTTGATAGCAAACACATTTAACATAGTTTCTGGTCTATATACTAATGATACACAAATGAATAATACTTTCAACATCCTTCTTTGGTAGTTGTAGAACTTGACTAGTATTTTGATCACTTAATTGTAGTGTGTTGTGAGCAGTAGTCATGGACTAAACTACGTGCTTCAGACCTGGGACTTCTGACACTAAGTCTTAGTGGGTTATTGGCTTTCTGATTTGACAGGTTCAACAACCCAGTGAAACTGCCACTACTTCTGGCAAGTGTGTGGTTCAGGCTGATGTATTGAACGTACTACTGTATTTTAAGTTAAGGTTGAAGCAAGGCAACAGGGGATGTTCATGCTGCTTTTGTACTGGAGACTCTGTTTTTTTTTATCTAACTGATTAATGCAGTGAAAATGATAAGATACCTTTGGATGTTTGAAAGCTGTTGGGTTTTTTAAAGCCATATTGAAAACACTTTCAAAAGTGCATTCTAAAGTGATTCCTAATAATAATAAACTATTGCCTTAAACAGAGAGATGAGCGTCTTCAGGGTGAAACTCTGGACAAACAGATTGGCCGAGTCTTGGGAGATGTGGCACCCAGTATGTTTCTCTCATCTCTTTCGGAGACTGTGGCATTCTTTCTTGGTGAGTCTTCTTTAATACTTGAAGATAAGAGCCTTGCATGTTGCAAGAATAAATGCAAAACTAGAAGTTAAAAACAAAGCAAGAACTTGTAGAGGAAGCTTAGCATAGTTGTTCATTGCTGTAATCAAGTTTAACTTGACCTCTGCTGGGGATAGGTATTGTAGTACTTTAAGAGACTGGCACAGTTTAAAAAATCAAATTCTGAATCTGTTAAGCTCTTTAGCTTGAAAGGCTGGAGCTTTTTACTGATTTGTAGTGACTGACAAGTCTAAATTTGACCTTAGGAGCTAGTACCTCCTGCCATCTGATATACTACATTGCTTTCAGTCATCTTGCCACTGCTTGGAAAAATGGTATGACAGATTTTGTGGTTCATTCTTACAGTATGCATTAGAGGCATATATTACATTGTTACCCTTCAAGTATAAATCGGCCTTCTTTCATAATTAACTTGTTTACCTGGAGTATAATTTGTCATTGGTTCAACTTGCATTGAGTGGCTTAATATTGAAGCGAGGTCTTGCTTGACAAAACTCCTTAACTACCCTCTTACCCAGCCTGCACAGGACTAGTAACTTTGGAATTGAGAAATATCTCAAAGCTAGTCACTTTGTACAGCCTTAACGCTGTCAAACAAGTCAAAGACACTAGTTGTAGCCAGGCTTGTATCAGCTGTTTCCTTTACTCTGAAGACAAAAGCTCTTTGTCCTGCTATAAGGCTAGTGCTTAAATTGGATATCTTTCTAGAAAATGCTCATGCCTTTCTGAGAAAGGAGCTTGCTTAACAAACTGGGTCACTTCCTTCAGGGACACTGTCTACGATGCCAGCGGTTCGCACATTCTCCCTTTTTGCTGGAATGGCTGTGCTCATAGACTTTATTCTTCAAGTCACTTGCTTTGTAAGTCTCCTGGGCTTGGATATTAAGCGTCAAGAGGTGAGTATAAATGCACCTGTAACTGCAGTGTAACAGGGATGGCATCTTCTGCAGAACCATACTAAATCTGGCATTTAATCCATTTTCAGAGCAACAGACTGGATATTCTGTGTTGCATCAAAAGCAATGAAGAGATGAGTGGAGTGCAGCGTTCTGAGAGCATCTTATTTGTGTTCTTCAAAAATCTGTATTCTCCTTATCTGCTTAAGGACTGGATGAGACCGATAGTAGTATGTATTGTCCGCTTTAAGTAAGGGGTGATCTAAACTTGAGCAAAAATGTAGTGAGCCTGAAGGTCTAATACTGTAGAAAAATCTTCAATGCAATGAAACAAATAAAGCTTCTAGGATCTTTGCTTTCAGCATTAGTATTGGAATAAGCTTTTGTAACTGCAAGAATTATTTCTAGCAAGTCGGGGCTTGACCTTGGATTGTCCAATACCCAGATTTAAGGGTTGTGTTACTGACAATCACATCACTTCAGGCATATGTCAAAAATCAGCACATGTGTAATCTAGAGTGATGTTGCTGAATCTGTGATTTGGTTTGAGGTTACTGTGCTTATTTACAGAAGGTGTTTGGCACATCTTTCACTGTTGCCTTCTAAGTATAAATGTTCCCTTGTGACTCCAAAGGGAACTCTGAGTAGCTAGGTTTTACTGCCACTGTTGTACTCAGCTTGGGTAGCATACTTAAACTAGAGCTTTTCTGCATGGTTGCTATTAACTTAGTAAGTTACTTCCATTGCTTGTTGTTTCTGTCCCGTTCTCACTTCCATGAATTTGCTTTTTTGCAGATCGCAGTGTTTGTGGGTGTTCTGTCATTCAGTACTGCAGTTATGCACAATGTAGAGATTGGACTGGATCAGTCTCTCTCAATGCCAGATGTAAGTCTTAAGATCATGTTGCTTTTCAGCAATTTGTGACTGAATTGAAACCTTGATATCTTATTGTGCATTATGTAATGGTAACTCAAACCTTTCCCTTTAAGGACTCCTATGTAATGGATTACTTTAGCCACCTCAGCAAGTACCTGCATGCGGGTCCTCCTGTCTACTTTGTCCTAGAAGAAGGGCACAACTACACCTCTTTGGAAGGGCAGAACATGGTGTGTGGTGGAATGGGATGTAATAATGATTCACTTGTCCAGCAAGTCTTCAATGCTGCAGAAATTGGTAGCTAGTAAGTATTTAATGCTTTTGTCTGCATAGTCACATGGAAGAGATGTAGCTGACCAGTGTATCCTTTAGTTCAGGCTCAGCTGTTGATGAGACATCTGAGACACTGATTTTTTGGGAGGTGGGGGAAGGGAAGAAACTGTGGCAATCCCCTAGAATGAGAATAAAACTTGTCTGGACTGGTGGGATGTACTGAGGTGCGTAAGTCTGGAAAAGGGGCTTGATCCTCACAGAATCTGGGAATGGTAAAAACTAAAACACATTAAAACCCCTCAGTATGGTTATGCTCTCCTGGAAAATGACTTGCATGCTCAGCTTCTAAACTTGGGTAAACTAGCCTAGCATCTGAAATGCATTCAGTATCTGGAGTTCAGTAGCTAACAACAGAAGAAAGTCTCTTCCTGATACCTTCCACGGTAGTTCAGTGGTTTTGCTTCAACTGAACTGGAGGAGGAGCCTTGCCTGAAAACTGACGCAACAATATCTGGAATAGGATGGGGCACAGTGTGGACAGCAGGATGGAAAGCTGAGCTTGGCAGTAGAATGTGAGCACAGGGGAGAAGCTCCTGCTGTTTGCTAGCTGCAGTGTTATGAGCAAAACTGCCTCTTGGATGGGGTACTGGAGCAGGGGACTACATGGAGAGCCAAATAGCTTGGACCAGAATAAGTTGACATGGTGTAGGTCAGCACTGAAGAGATCAAGGGATGTGTTCTGGAATGAAACATAAAATTACTAATGATGGATATGTTACATTATTTTATTAGCACAAGGATAGGCTATGCCCCATCATCCTGGATTGATGACTACTTTGACTGGGTGAAGCCACAGTCATCCTGTTGCAGAGTCTACAATACCACTGGACAGTTTTGCAATGCTTCAGGTATTAGCATCCATCTTGTTGCTAGGGGATTAGCTTGGTGTATAAGTTTCACAGCCAAAACACTTTATCATGGTATGAGTCAAGTGAATAGTTTTCTTACTGGGAGCAGGCACCCCTGGAGTTGCCCTCTAATTTGTTTGAACTGCTGTTTTAGTGAACTTAAACATTCTACTGGAATGCTGCAGGTTGGAGACAACCCACCTTGACATCCAGTGTAACGACTATTGACAAAATAACTTGTTGCAAAAAAACCCAACCAAAAAAAAAAAACCAACCTTGATCCTTCTGCTGGTTTCATTAGAGTACACAAACTTAGTGCTCTGGTTTTGTTAGGATCCTCCTTGGTATAATTCTCATTGGGTCTAAAGTAGATAGTGCACAAGAAACAGTCCTCTGGTAGCTCTTGCATTAGTAGTAATAAATAAAAATAAAGGACTACAAATTTTATACAGAATTTCGGAAATTCATAAATGCTTTTTATGAAATTGTATCACGTAGTAGTACAAGTCAGGGAAAGAATACTTGATCCTGTAGCTGATACTTGATCCTGTAACTGACCTTCTTCCTGTATTTCTCCAGTCACCGATCCATCCTGCACTCGTTGTCGACCACTGACTCAAGAAGGCAAGCAGAGACCACAGGGCAAAGACTTCATGACATTTTTGCCAATGTTCCTGTCGGACAACCCTAATCCTAAATGTGGTAAAGGGTAAGACACATATTCTGTTTATCTTGCTTAGACCAGTATGTCAATGGTACTTGTTCTGGAAGTGAGACTTTTTTATGTTTGCAAGGTTGAATATCTAATGCCCTTTTAAAAGTCATATAAACACTGCCATTTCACCTGGTCTGTAGTGTTTTGTGAAACAACACTGGCAAAAAAAAAAAGCATCGTCAACTAAATGGAACAGCAGCTTTCCCCTTTACAGAGAGAAACAACTTCTATAGTCAGTCTGTTCTAGTATATCCTGTGCTATCTTGAAATATATTGTGCTCTGAAGCTTTTATCAGTTTTGGAAGCAAGATTATAAGTTAAAAAAGCCGACAAGTTTTGAATGATGCTCACTGACATCTAAAATGTTACTGTGTTTATATAGAGGACATGCTGCGTATAACTCTGCTGTCAACTTCATAAACAACAAGTCTGATGTTGGAGCTACTTATTTTATGACTTACCATACTGTACTGAAAACATCATCTGACTTTATTGATGCTATGAAGAAAGCTCGGGTTATAGCAGATAACATTACTGAAACCATGGGCATCAAAGAGAAGAACTACCGGGTGTTTCCTTACAGGTATGCTTGGATCTTTCTTGCCTTAGTGAAAAACGCTCAACTTGAGGGACTGAGAAAAGGTGCTGGTTAATAATATCTAGAGACTTGAGTCTTAAGTTTTGTCTAACTTCTCTTTACTGTAGTTGATAACTAACTTAAATTAAAAACAAACAAAAAGAAGCCCAAAACAAATTGTCTTTCACTACGAGGTAGCTCTGGCTTCAGCTTGGGCACTTCCCAGCTTTCATAGTTGGGTTTAATAGTTTTAATTTAAGCAGATATGTTGACGTGGGTGGTTGCAAGCTGTAATGTGAATGTATTGACTCCAAACAGAAGTTACTTAGATTTAAAGCAAAAGTAGCAGTGATGTCAAGCACTGCTTACCTAATGCTTGCATGATTAACATGCTAAAGACTCTGTATAAGAATACTACAGTGAAATTGAGTTGGAGTTAACATCTCTACAGCTGAAATACTAATCTCTGCTTCAAAGAATCCTATATCCTTGTGGTCTTAGTGCATAATGAATCAGTTAGACCCCCTGCAGTGGTTGCTGCAGATAGCACAAGTTGATCTAAGGAACTACCTTCTGGCAACTACTGTAGCTGCTTATACTGAAGTGTGGGGAGTACACTCACTTCCAGGTACAACCTTTATTTGAAGTGTTAGTGAAGAGTTGTTTTATAACAGCCAGTGTTCTGCAGGAGTCATTCCACTGATGCTAGGAAGCCATTTCCTGTTGGTGACTAGCATAAGGAGGGAAATACTTTATCCGTAGCACAGAAGCTAATCTGGTATTAGCATATAACAAGGAAGATGGATAACCACAATTTCTTTTCTTTCCACAGTGTCTTTTATGTCTTCTATGAACAATACCTGACGATTGTGCATGATGCTATCTTTAACCTCTGCATCTCCTTGGGATCGATATTTTTGGTGACAACTGTGCTGCTTGGCTTTGAAGTATGGGCTGCTGTTGTAGTTTCAATAACTATTGCTATGATAATCATCAACATGTTTGGAGTGATGTGGCTCTGGGGCATCAGCTTGAATGCAGTTTCATTAGTAAATCTTGTCATGGTAAGTTAATGGGACAGTCCTCTGTTTCTGTTTTCAAGTTTTGAAACAGTTCTGTCTTACATATATATTCATGATACCGAGTAGTATTTTGTAATAAACTTTGACAGGCATTTGAATAGGAGTGGAACTATCTTAATACATCTAGATGGTGTGTAGAAAACAGGTTTATTCTGATAGCTAGTCCCAGTACTGATAAGATACAGCAATAGAACTGTAAGCTGTATTGCATCTGACAGTGGTCTCTCTGGTAGTATTTCTATGATATAGGCTAGGTGCTGTTGCACGTCAGCAGAGGTTGCTTATGCCCAAGGTAAGGATGCATACCTTAGTGTTAAGGTTTCTGCTGAATTTTATGTTTTAGAGTAGAACTGTGATGTGCTAGCACCAGTGTTGTTCCTGCATAAATGGATGAAGCTACTTCAGAGTGGTTTCATCCAGAGTGCCTTGGTCAAAGACTCCAGAACTTAGTAACTAATAGCTGAGTGCTGGAGCTCTGGCTTACCTTGCTCTCTAGAGATTTACTGCAGATCTGAGAAAGTTGAGAGAAACTGTTGCAACTGCGTTACAACTAGGCATATGTTCGTGCAAGTCTACCTGCTAAATAAGTCTAAGATTTGCCAACTGTTCAATTGATGTTGTAAATGACTATTTAAACAGCTTGGTTTTAGGTAAACAGCTGAATCTTTATGGTATCAGATCAGCATATGTACTCAGTGATACTCTAAAGTAATGTTATTGCAGCCAATGTCTGTAAACTGATGTTAGTGTTCGGGGTTCACTGCATTCACTGTATTGAAGCCAGCTTTCTTCAACATCAAGAAACTTTTGTCCTCCAAAATTATCTCATGTTCTGATTCCTGTTTAATCAGATTAATTGTCCATTAGTAATGACTGGTGGTAAAACCCATTCAGTGCCTGTAACAGTCTCTAGTAACCATGTAATGCTGAGCTTGTAACTTGGCAATGACGCTTCAACCCTTGGAACTCAACACAGCTGCTAGAACCTCTCTAGCCTCTTTAGAGTTCTGAGTAGAGACCTTACCATCCAACTGCTCATCTAAATATTTTCATGTCTATTTCTTTTCACTCTCTAGAGTTGTGGCATTGCTGTGGAATTCTGCAGTCACGTGACAAGAGCCTTCACTGTTAGTACTAAGGGCAGTAGAGTAGAGCGTGCAGAAGAAGCTCTGTCTCACATGGGCAGTTCAGTAAGTATCTACTGCATGGGGGTGGAAAATGAGTAGCCAAGTCACAACTTTACAGACTATGCCAATATCCTTAAGTCATAAGGATGGCCTTGCCTTTTCTTTTTGGGATACTTGATTAAAACTCTTTAAGAATTCAACCTAGGCTCCTACTAGTAATAGGGGTGATCAAGACTCAATTTTTAGCCTGATGTTACTACTAATAGTAGAGAACAGAGCTAAAAGCCTTAGCTGAACTAGTAGTTCAGATTAACCTTGCATTGTCCCATTAAAGTTTAAGTGCTTCTCTCTTCCAAGTACTCAGAGGTGACTAGGAAAGGTTGTTCTGAATATGGGGTGGAATTGAAGCTTTGGGAATGCAAGCAAGGCTCAGTATTAGGCAGTACTATCATGTCACTTAAACTAAGATAAGCAACCTGGATGGGGTTGGAATAGACTGTTCTGGTGATACATGTACTGGTAAGGAACTTCATTGGAATGCAAGTTACTTCAGTAGTGGCTTCCATCTGTATCTGCCTGAAGTAAAAAGTTAAACTAAATCTAGGTGGCTGCACAGATAGAGATTTTTAATCATGCTGATCCTGGCCTGTGGTGTCAGGTTCTAATGGGACTAAGAAGTTGAACTCTTCTCCTGAGTAGGTCTTGGATTTGGTTCTAAGGACTAACAGGTAAGGAAGTGTACTGTATACAGGAGTCTCAAATTACATAAAAACTTTAGCAAATGTTAAATACTTAAGTGATAAGTAGAACTTTATGTAACCCATTTGCTTTAAAACCACTGTTTTATTGACAGGTTTTCAGTGGTATCACACTAACCAAATTTGGAGGAATTGTAGTACTGGCTTTTTCCAAATCTCAGATCTTCAAGATATTTTACTTCAGGATGTATCTAGCTATGGTTCTGCTGGGAGCAACACATGGACTAATATTTCTGCCAGTTCTGCTCAGTTACATAGGTAAGACGTGACAGTTTCTCTAAAATGCACTTCAAACAGAAATAGCTGGCTACCTGTGGACATGTCCTCTCCATGAAATGGAAAGGACTGCCAGGATAAAAAGTAGCTGGTCTGGAAAGCAAGGGTTGACTGGTGGCAGCACAAGCTTGCTGTTACCAGGCATGCTGAACTGAAGCAACCATAGCCTGCCCTGTGTGGTTGCACTGTGCTGTTCCTCATGGAGGTGGCTGCCTAGGCCCATGTGGCCCAACAGACAGCAGCATGCTTAACATCTCTAAACCTGGGGACAGGATGGTGGGTGGAAGCAACAAACCTGCTGTGGGACAGGGTTCCTCCATTTGCAGATGCAATCTTGCTTTGCAGTAAGGATGGTCCAAACACTGTCCTCTTGGATTTGGAAGTTCATGCCTATGGTGTAGTTCTCTAGGCTCAGTTACAGTCTACATCTACTTAAGGGGGTTTAAGAGTGATGGGGATTCACCTACTGCCCTTGCTGCTGCTGACAGCGATTAGCAGCTGAACAGAGCATGTTTCATAAGTCTCATCCATTTTAAGCAGGACCTAGACAAGTAAGATCATGCATGCTTCTTGGTGACCGACTCATCTGCTGCAGTGTTGAGTCTTTGGAATAACTCTGTTTTTTCTCACTCAGGCCCATCAGTAAATAAAGCTAAAACTCGTGCTACACGAGAGAGGACCAGAGGTACAGAACGGGAGCGACTCCTCTACTTCTAGTTTTTAACAGTGTTCAGTGGACTCCAGGAACTGTGGCTTAGGCCCAACTTTTAAGAACTGAAGCGCAGCAGTGTTCTATGACTATCACACTGTAACCACCACTGACTTGACTCCCACACAGATTCAAGTAGAAGATATCAGCTGCAGCTTTGGACATAGCTTTAAACTCAGGAAATGCTATGTGTGGCTCATGTAACAGTATTACTAAAACTAGATGTGTTAACAAGATTGCTGAAACACTTCTGTTTTCAAGAGGTTGCATCTTTTTCTTCTAGAAACCTAAACCAGCTGTATTGAGAGTTGAATAGCATTTTTTGTCAATGAAACTGAAGTGATGTGTATGAGAATGGACTGCTAAACCACTGACACGAATTTTAAATGCAGGTCAATGCAATTTTTGTCTCTATTTTTAGGAGGAAACCATCACAAGTTGTAATATTTTTAGTACTATTTGCCAAAGTGTCTTGTATATACTTTATTATAAAATAGCAATTTTGTAGTTCAAAAATCTACTTAAATGCAATAAATTAAGTTTATACATTTCAGTGGAAGAGTCTTTCAGAATGCTGTGGGCTTCATGAGAGCTTGTTCTCCAAAAACTTGTTTGAAGAAGGTGACATGTTCTTCACAGTGCTCACCTAAGAAGGGAGGAGGGGAGCAAAATAAAAGTTAACATTAACTTTGAGAAGCAAGATCATGTGGTTTCACTCACCTCAGTTTATAAGTACTAATTCTTATGTAATTCTTATATTTAATGCCTTTGAGTAAAGGAGTTTAACAATTTTAAAGCAGTGGAATACTGAGGAGTCTCTAGTCCTGTGCTGAAGCAGGTGGGCTGACCTAGTTCCTGTATCTAACCAGCAGCTTCATATCCATGGGAGCTCTTTACTCTCAAGACAGAAGATCTTGGAGTGGGGTTCTGTGCCTGTAGACTATCTGGTGATTAAGAACATGTTGCCAGAACAAGCAGTTTAGCTTGTTTTTTACAGTGAGAAGAACCCTAATATAAAACAGGCTGTGAATTTTTGTCTTCTGTGGAAAAAGCAACTGAACTCAAAGGTTTCTTGACCCAGTTCCTGGCTTCAGGAAAAGGCACTAACTGGAGGTAATGTCTTTGCTAAACTGAGCACTGCAAGCTGAACAGGTTAGCTTAATCTGCAAGGTCCTGCTTGGCTTAGTCTCTATGCCTGGGTGCAGTACACAAAGAGGTAAGACAAGTTAACTTTGGAACTATGCTTAAAGGCAAGTTTAAAATGCACCAAGACTTTTATTTTGTAATACAGACTCAGCTGGAGTAGAAGTGAAGCAAGCCTTAGTTCAGTCTCTGTAACTGAGTATCTTGGTCTAACTGCTTATTGCTTACCTGGTGTGAAACTAGGGTTTCCCCGTAACCGCTGATTTCTTTGTTCAAAGAATCTGAATATAGTATAGAAAAGCATGTCATCTTCTGCTTGTTTTGCTGCATCAAGGAATTTGCGGGCTGAAATGCTGTCGTGTCCTCCAATACCCCTGATGAATCTCAAGGCAGCCAACACTTGGTGTTTGGACAACAGAACTTCCACTATTTCATCATTTGCTGTGGAAAGTCTCTGTGAAGTCAATCACAGCTGTAAGACTATGCTTCTAACAAATGATTGAGATGTTAGCTAGTCACTTCAAGCTTGGTCAGGTAAGCTGTTTGACAAGTCTAACCCACATGTGACATGGAGTTACTAGAGTCTGAAATGCTTACTTTTAACATGTCCAGGGAGAGCTGATGTGCAGGAGGGTAAATGCTTTCCAGGGACAGTAACAGACAAGCCTACGGCAAAAGTAGAAATAACCTTAAAATTCTGAAGACTTTCCATCTCCATGACTAGACTATTGAAGTAGCTGGTCTTACATACCAAAGGTTTTGAGTCACTCAGCACATGGTACTGCAGAAACTGATGGAGCATGTAGAACAAGTTGTGTTGAACAAGGGTTTTGATGACCAGCTCATACAAGTAGTGCTGTGAATGGAGGAAGAAGACCATCAAAGGTATGGCTCAATACCAGTTTTTATAATCTAGAAGGTAGTATTGTAGAAGACAATCTAGAAGGTAGTATTGTAGAAGATTTAGGCTGGTTTGAAACTCCACGTGATTTTATGGAGTGAGGTGATATACTTGGCATGTTAAGTACTTTACCTGAACTGCAATCTGGAACTGGTTAAGAGAGCGAATGTATTCCATCAAGACTGCGATAGTGAACTTATGAGGTGCTTCCTGGACAAGAAAAAGCAGTGTTAGGTGGAACTTGCATAGCTTCCTCTGTTAATGACAACCCTCTAAGAATGAGCATCACAATACTCTAATCCTGACAATAAAGCCTTCTGCAGGCTGTTCCAAGTGGTCAACTGAAGTTTGCTGCTCTGAGACTACTGCCAAACTAGCACTTTTAACTTACCTTTTTCTCTGTAAATACAGATAAAACGTGTGTGTACATGTCAGACTGGTCAATAACCGCTTGAGTGCGGACTGGCCGTTTCAGGAGTGGATTACTTCTACTCAGGCCTGCTTCTACCACCTACAAGAAGAAAGCCTTTTTAAATGAAAACTGTAGTGGTATAGTACAGTTTTAGTCTCTCAGTTGTATGGAGACTGTTTTCCACTGGGAATGTAATTATAAGCATGTTTTGCTACTGAGCAAATGTACCTGTGGTCATGTTATACTGGATGCATTCTGTTCAGTCTGGGCTTTTATATTGAATTTAAAACTGCTTTTAAAATTACATAAATGTAGCTGCTGTTACATGCTCCAAAGCCAGGAGATTAATCAAACTTACTCTGACACAGGCCTTCAGCTTTAGAAGGATACTTAGTATGGGGCTGTACTATTTGAGTTAGTGCTTGAATGTGCTAATTTAACAGAAGTAGTTCTGAGATGCAGCAGTGATGCAGTTGTTGTGTAGCAGTACAGCGTGCCATGAGATCAGTGGTTTTGGAAACAATTTTGATAGTTATGGAATCCAAGTTGCTCTTTGAGCTTCTACCCTCTCTTAGCTTTCAAGCACTGGGGTGTGCTACTTGTCACACTGGACAGGAGCTGTGTAGCATCTGCTGCAGAGTGCTAAGTGGGGGGTCTTAGTGCACCTTGCACAGCAGACCCTCTACAGTCAGCCTGAGGCAGCTGGGACCTTGGGGTAGGCCTGCATTTCCTAAGTAGAAAAGAGTAGATGCAAACAAATGCAAATAGCATCATCCTGTCTTTGTAAGCTGCTGTAGCTAACATGGTTTACCATAGTATAGCTTTGCTCAGCTTCCAAGTACTTCTTATATTCATGATTCAGTTTGTCAAAAACAGTTGCAATCACAGACAGTGATCCCCTTTCTGGCTCACTGAGCACTGAAAAGATAGAAAGAAAAAAGAACTATGAGGAGAAATAACCAGGGGCTTTAATGGTGCCTTTTTCAAACAGTGTTATCTACTGCAAACTTCTTTCTAAACTTTAAAGAAACACTTTCAGTCATGTCAGATGTTTTAACTAAATGGGGAAAAGTCAAATTCTTTCATGCTGTTAAGTACTTCCTTTAGAATGGTGACTGAGGGTGGTCTAGACAAATTACATCTTACAGGACCAAGGTAGCTTCAAAGGTGATCTCAAATCTAAGAACAGTCCAGCTAACTTGTAAGAGTATTTGAGTAAGCAGTACTGTACTTCCAAGAGAGACAAAGCATGTGAACTTACTTTGAGAGCACACAGACAGGATAACCATTTTGCATTCTTTCCTTTGGAGAAGGAAATCCATTAGTTTTCCTTTATCTAGCACAAGGTTAACTACAGGTTCAAGTTTCACTTGAAGACTCCAGAGGTAACCTTGATTTGAAAGAGTAAAGCAAAGTGAATGGCCTTGTATAGTATAGCCTAGACATACAACTCTTCCACCTTTAAATGAGAACACAGCTAGATTATGATTTATTTACCTTCCTAAGTCTGTTTTTGAGCAGCATTACCCCTGAAAAGTAGTAAACATGGTCACTGCCAAGTAGATGCTAAGGTACATGTGCTTATTTACTTTGTTTGAAGCTGTTTTGTGTTGTGTGCTGAATGTATAAACTAGCCACCCTTGGACACTGTCTGTAGCAGAGTCAAACAGCTCAGTACTTACCTTCACTTGCACTGATGATAATATCAGGTTGAAAGACAATCCAAGAAGAAGAATCTAAATGTTAAAGTTCTAACATCCATATTAACATTGATTCCAAACTGTTGCTACAAACTTACATTACTGTACTGAAGCAGATCCCATTAACATACTTTCATTTACTGTTACCTTTTTGTTTTAAGGAAGGTCTTGGACCATATTCTTGGAATTATATCTTCAATTTGTAACTACTTAGTAATTTCAGACATGCACCTCAAAAGACCAAGAAATGTGGTATTGTATTATATTAGGTCTCCATATTTACAACTTTATGAAAGCATTACAGTCTCTTATGAAGCATACTATTTTGTCTTGAAGTAAATGTGTATTCAGCTAAAGCTAGACTTAATAGCTAGCTTCTTCCATGCTTGGTACAGAGAATGAGGCTTCTGTAAGACTCTTGTACTTTTAGAGTATTTAAAGGATACAGAGTTTACAGGGAACAGGAGCCTGACTTGTCACAGAGGCTGGACCTGCAGAAAAATTAACATCAGGTGAAAAACAGTAGTACTGACAGCTCTCTTACACTAAGAAAATACAAACTACAAGCTTACACTGAAAAGGCAAGTATGGATTGCAACATGTCTAGCAGTCCTGCAGCACACAGGCAATAAAGATACACCATGTGTGTAGCCAGATCATCTACAAAGAAAATCTGACACTGTGAGAAAGCAAACAAATTCTTCAGAACATGATTGTTTTGTTTCTCAGCTAAGTAAAATCATGCATGCAGAAGTATTCCATCTCTAGTACTATAATTCTAAATACATACATTCCACTTGCAGTATTTATGTCATCACTTTAATTTCTTTATACTTTCTGATCCCAATGTTTAATACAAGCCTCCACCTGCAGATTTATCAGTCATACTTTTTATTAATGACTTTAAAATTCAGATGTTGAAGAGCTTTTAAGGTACAAACATTCCTGTGGAATCATCTTTCTCTTCTCTAGAGAACTGCACTGCTTTGCTAATGCTTGGGGAACTATGCTTAGACTATTGCTAGCTACTTCCAGCTTGACGGTTAAGTATCTGCTACACTATGAGGACAGGAGAAAGATAATCCAAGAAGAATATGAAGTGTTGAAGTCCTAACACTGATCTTAGCATTGCTTCTAAACTTGATTCTGAGATTCTAAGCTTGGATTGTCTTTCAGCCTCTTTGTGACTTGGGAAGTTAAGTAACTGTTACCCAAGCCACAGAATCATGAAGTGCTTTTGAGCACACACACAAGCTTTTATAGCTGTGGGGGGGGGGAGGGGGGGAAAATAGAAGGTAGAACCCCACAACTCTGAAGTATAAAAGCAAAGTACTATGAGAAGTATGCACCTTAAACAGCAACTCTTACTTTTCTGTAGTAGCAGAAATCTGTAGATATATCTCTTAAATATGT